TGCTCACAACCACCAAGATCAACTGACATGGAAACACAAATGGGGTTTCAGTCACCCTTTTATTATTTGTTTGTTTGTTTGTTTTTGTTATCATGTGAGTTTGTGCTACAGGATCTTCACTACTCTAAGTGTACCAAAATACATAGTGTTCTTGGTCCTCAATTTAGCCTTTTCATCAATCCAGCCTCTGTAGCTTTGTTTTAGTCCAGTACTTTCTCTGTCATGTGTGGCAGGATATAGCACTAAGTAGCCAGAACTCTATAAAAAGTATAAATCATCAGTTTCTGGTTATGCACTGTACTAAAATAAATATCTATTTTTAAAAATCTGCAGTGCAAACCTGAGGGTAAAATTATGGTATGGATATATGTGGCAAATACCTACTGAATAAACAATAGAAACACTAAAATGGGTGGTCTGGGAGTATCAATCATTTGTTCTTCATGACTCTGTTTTACCTGATTGTGGGTGCAAGTGCTTACAGAGTGTGTAAAATGACAGATAACCTGCCACATGCAGTTTTGGGAAAACATATGCCATTCTCTTTGATAATCCGTGATTTTTTTAGTACATGGAAATGAATTCTTGTTGAAGTAACTTTAGGGCAAGCTAGCAGGTCCAAACTCCTCCTCAGTGTTTTCCAGCTTCTGTAGAGAGAAGCTGTCTATTCATTCCTGTATCTCATGCTTCCTCCTGTGCCTGGCCATACACAGGCGTATACAGCTGGCAAGGCAAAGGAGTTGTCATGCCCTCCTTGTACTCTTTTGTGTAATGACCAGTAAGAACTGCAGTCCCTGTTGTCTTTTGGAAAATAGCTGCTACTCAGTTCAGATGTGAATGGAGATGAGAAAGCAAGAGGTTGGCTATAGGTGCTATAGTTTCTATGTTTTCTATCAAAGACAAATTGAGAAGACAGCAAATGCAGAAATAACTACATTGCACAGGCAGCTGCTGTGCAGGCAAGATTTAGACTTTCTGGAAAAGACAGATTTGCTGTAAATGAACAATCTACTTAGAGTTCTTTCTCCTGCTTTGACCAAGATATTGGTTGTTCATAAATCATGGATGGCCAATTATCTTTTATCCTGTAGCCAGAATGTTCTTGAAATGAGTTCAGACAGTGTGTCTTAGGTACAGCGATTCTGATTCACTAGTGTCCTCTTGGTCTCCACACCGTTTAGACATTTAGGAGAAAACTGTACCATAGTCTTGATGCTCACACTCTTGATGCACTATACGTCTACACAAACACAGTAAACTGTTTCAGGGATAGTTCTTTTCTATGAACTTTCTTCCCTCTCACTAATTAATAGAAATGCAAATGAAAGACTGAATTACAAGCAAGAGAGTCTGTTCGCAGTCTGTGCTTCACAAGTATCCCAAGAGTAATAAAATAAAAAGGCCTGAGCAGAGCACATTCATTCCAAAAACAACTTGAAGATGTACAATGTAAGTAAAGATAACAGAAACAGAAGAGGCAGCTGCCTTGAGTCATTAAATAAAAACAACAAATGTATTCTTGCCTTAGGGATATCTTCACAGACAGGAAAATCTGAACTGTTTGTTTTGGAGAATCCCATCATTATACTCTTAGCACATATTGAACAGGCACAGTGAATCTCTCTTCCTCATCGCTATATCACAGGGTCTTTTGGATGTGGTTGACAGTGATTTACACAAAATATTTACCTTCTTCTGTGCTGAAGTAGATGTGCTTATGCACTTGATAGTTGGTATGCAAAGCCTTTGTCCTGTCTTCCACGGACCTAAGTCTTACTGGTTCCTCTGTAGACTAAATCATATCTGCTCTTGTGCGTAACTGTCATATTGGTTAAAGCCGGAAGAAAAAAGGCCTTGCATACATAAAGTCTGCATCAAGAGTAATACAATAAAACCTGTTTCAGTGCTCTTATTTCAGGTTGCTGTGAAAGTTTTGTATTCCACTTGCTATCACTATCAGTGGTGGCCCAGGAAAAGTGTCCTGAGATGAAAAGTCTGTTTAAGCATTTGAGATTTGATTCTGTGATAGGATATAAATCAAGACTGATTTGCCCTGCTGGCACTTACTGTTTTATGAGGGAAACATATGGTTGAGCCAGGAATTCTCAATAGTCAAGGTGATGTAGAAGTACAGTGTCATTCTGAGAGGACAGCAGGCCTCCATGTGGGAAGTAGGACTGCTCAAAATAAACACATTGCTGGTATACACCTGAAAACTCCATCCTTACACGTAAAATATATTTATCTTGCATTCCATAAGTACCTTGTTTATCCTGGTTTCTTAGTATTAGTTATACTATTTGCAGTTCTGTGACCTTTCACTCAGGCTGCTGTAGCAGCAATATTATTTCCACAGAGGCTCAGTCTTCCTGTGGGAATACTTTTCCTTTATTGTTCTCCAATCTTATTCACATACTGGTTTTCTCATGGCCTAGCACCTGCAACCCCAGTAGTGCTGCTACAGCAGGTTCTCTCTTGGGAAGGAACTATCACTGGAAAGAGAATCAACCCTTGTTCCCCTCCTTTCCTTACTTCTTGTTTAGTAGATTTCATTCATATTGGAGAAAATCCGCATGGCAAAGTAGGTAGAAGTCACTCAATAAATACTATCATAGCAGGAATCTAAGGATGGAAATTAATACGAGGAGCGGTATTTCAATCCCAATGAATTTTAAAGGAATTTTTTCTCTACTGATATGTTTTTTCTGGTTTGCAGTTGAAGTCATTAGACTCCAATGGATTCTAAATAGTTTTAATTCAAATTCATAAATTCGGCAAAAGTTATTTATAACTCGGCTTCTGGTTTAGGTAAAAACATGGGCTAGGTTAGCTAAAAATTTACACACAGAAGATAAGGAGCCTCTCTAACCACTTCAGGTGGCTTTCATCTTAAAATAACTTTAGATCTAAGGCAATAAATAAAGTCAGGTATCTTGATGTATTTTGAAGTATATTAAAATAGCAAATTAGATTCCTTTCATTTTATTATCCTTTCTCTACTTGATGAAATGATCACCTACATGCCTTTAATAGTTCCTATTGGAACCTTAAACAAACTTACTCCAAAAGCAAAACACTTTGTCTTAAAAACATGTGGACTTGTTTCTTTCTCAGATAAAAGGCAAGCCTTCAAAACCTAATTTACTCTGTATTGAATGCAGCCATGAACTTTATGCTTAGGCAAGGGTTTGAGATTGTTGTCAGGGATATTGGAATACAGGGGAATGTAGGTTCAGAAAAAAACCTGTGACAACTAACTTACATCCAAATTTGCTTTCTGCTACTCTATAGGTACTAAACAAAGGTATTTCGAGGATTAGTTTAGGTCTTATTTAATCAAGATAATGAAACTTTACCTATAAAATGGGATAGAAACAACATCCATAAAACTTCTAAGGAAATGAATCATAATTTGAACCAAAAAAGCACCATTATGTATAAATAGCCATACTTTCAGCCATAAAATCGTGCAATTTAATTAATGAATAAAACTCTGAAACTTCTGCTTTGAATTACTAAATTTCTCTTGGAAATACAATTAAATTCAGCAACTGGAAATGGGCCCCACTTGAACTGAAAGACATCATTACACAGTTACCATTAAAACAGAATGTTACCTTACTTCCAGGTAATAGTTTCATTGCCAATGACTGGATTTTAGCCACAAAGTATTTCTCTTTGATTAAAGAATTTCATGATGAGTTCTAATCTTTGCCCAGGTTTCTCATTCATCTACTCTGGGTCACCTTTTTAACATGTTTGGGGTTTTTTTTTTATGTCTTCCAATCTTCAAATTATTCTTTTGAAGGGAAGTGAGGAATGAGAACACTGTTATATTTTCATAACCGTGACTACTGTTTCAGCTCTGGGGTTTTCTAAATAATTCCCGGCCTAGAAATTAATAACTGCCTAAGGGAGAAAATTATCTATAAATACCCACTGCAGAATATTCTGAGTTCCGTATGTCACTGGTCACTTCCTCACCACACGTTTTGAAACTTCGTGTAGAACTGAATAAGACAATGCCACACAATCAGAAATTATATAAGCAAGAAAGAGCAAGACTCCTTTCACTGGGCTCTTTGCGTTTCTGGACAGAGTCTATTTCTTTTTCATATTTTTTAGCAAGTTCACTAGGTGGTTTTCAGAAAACAAATAGCATTCCAATGAATTTTCAGGGCTCAGAGTTTTTATGTGAACTACTAAATTGAAAAAACATAACATAAAATGCAAATGTTGAATAATACTTAAGTGTCAAACATACATCAGTTGGAATTCTATTCTGTTTCTTGCTGTAATGAAAGACAATAGCACAAAAAACTTTAAGATCAAAAATACTTATTCCAACTGGCTTATATGGAGGTGATAAACATTAAGATGTACTATATATAATATATATATATTATATATATATAATATAAAATATATATAATTTGAAAAAGCCTTCTTTCAGTATTTAATCCAGAAAAAAGTTTTAGCATAATTTTTCAAATCTGAATTGTTAAATAGAACCTTTAAAAGAAGTAGGTGGAAGAATGGGCACCCTTACATAGGAATGAACACTCTCAAAATTGTTTCAAGAACTCTGCAAATGACTACAAACAAAAACTTTGTCAACTTAATAGTGGGGGGAAATAAAAGTGAGGTAGAAATCAGAGATTGCAGATTTTTCACTTCTAGCTTTTTTGTATATATTCTTTATTCTATGGGCATTTTGTTTAACTAGAAGACAGCGGTGGATTAGTTTGTTAACTGTGTGTTTTGGCTTTAACTAAATATGTGGGATCTGATGTGTGGAAATCTCAGTATAGTGAAACTGTTTCCAACAGACCAAGTGGTCTCTTTAGACTCTTTGAGTACTCAAGGGGCCCAGGCTGTGTTTCAGCTCAAAACAAACAGGATATTAAGTAATTAGTGGCCTGTGTAGTGCTGACTCATCCTTGTATTGGCTTTTGCAACATAAATTGCTGACAATTTCTATTCCTTTCTCTATGTTCCAGGTATTTTCTGACCAAAGAGATATTCTGATTGTGACATCTCTAACTGTGTTTGACTCATTATTCTGTCTACTACTTCCCATGTAAGTAAAGATGGGTATAAGGTTTTCTATACCATGAGTAGCAAGTTTCCACATTCTCAGTACTCCTAAAAGTTCAAAGTCACATAGTGTCTTATAGGAATCTGCCAACATACGATGTAATATGGTGTTTGTGCTGAAATAAGATAGAATGGAGGTATTCTAATTGGTATTCTATTTGAGGTAATTCGATTTCCAGTATTCCACCAGCACTAGTGATGAAAGCTAATCACAGTAAAATAGTTGGACTAATGTGATAAACACAATAGGACCATTTCTACAGGCTCTACTAAATGTAAATGAACTCCAGAATCTATAATTACTAATCCCTTTGAGATACTTAATTTTCTAATTATTTCCCAGAGAGCAATTTTCATCTTAGTTGTGTAAAGTACTGTTCAAAAATGAGAATTTTCTGCTTATCTTTTTACACAAGAAGATATACTAATTGCACTTTACACTATTCCCATACCATAAACTCAAATAGTATGGCCTCCAAGTTTTCATCTAAGGATTGGCTACCAATAAAGTGCACAGGCTTTTGTTCTGCCTGGGCTTGCTGTGGCTGAGCAGCCAATCACAGGCTTGCCATAAGTACCATGAAGCCACAATGAAGCACAAAACAATGTAAACATGTAAAAATGAAAAAACCGGCAGGTCGTGTATATCTAATTCATATTCTTCATTGTCCTCTTCAGGAATCCTCCTAAACATTAAAAAATTTTACTTGTAATGTTAGCATCCTCTGTCCTCTAAGTGCATAATATCAAAACCCTACTTGTTCAAATATAAAAAAAATATAATGCAGTTAGAAGTTATATGTAATTTTTCATCAAAGTACCTGTTTCTGATAAGGTATTAATACAATTCCATCAGCTTTAAGTATGTATCAAAATTGGCATTAAGTGCAAGTCTTTCACATTTAAAAATATATTGGCTAAAATCAAGAAATAAGTGTGCTCTTTAGATCAAGATCTAACTATTTTTTCTCCTACCAACAGAAACTGAGTGTTGCTCTTAACAAAAGAAAAGGAACTGAACAAAATTCTTCCAGCTGTGATTTTCATATGCTCACTTTAGTCATAAAACCTACCCAGAAAAACTCTACAAGTCCAAGACAGTTGTAGAGGAGTGTAGGGCAGTTTTGTAGCTGTACTGACTGCCATACAGAAAACCTGGTTGGAAATCTTTTAACAGAAAATTCTTTTGGAGAAGAACACATTTATAAAAATGCACTCATGAAATTAATATATTAAAATTATTAAAATATGGGATTCCCAATTATCCAGATGAGCATTTTAATTTTTTTTCAAACTAGAATCATGATTTGTAACTGGGCCAAAAAAGTCCTGGATATCAGATTTTCTTGTTGATATGTAATGGACTTTTTTGTACTCTTTCTATACAGCTTCATGCTCTTCGAATATGAAGAAAAGTCTCTCTGGACTTCAGACTTTGGTACAAAATGTATTTCTAGGCAGACTATAATAGTATTATTCAATATTTATGTATGGAATAGTGTGTTTTAAAGTAAGTTGGGAAACATAGAGAAAAATAATTACATCTCTTATGTATGGTTTTTTTTTTAGTCAGCTCTCAATAGCTTATGATTCTTTGGAACTAGTGTTTCCCAATGATACAGGCTTTTGGATTGTGTCACTAAAAACAGATAAAAGGAAGAAAGCTTCATTCCACTGTGTCTGATTTGAAATTCTCTGAAGTTCCAGATGCAGAACTTAAAACATAATTTCCAATAAAATGTAAATATCCCCGCTCCCTACATGGGTAACCAAAATCAAAGTGCTGGAAGGACTCCAGATATCAGAACTGTTTTACCAAATGTTCATAGTTTTCACCACTATTCTGCTGACATGGTGCATTTTGAAAGCATGGATAGTATACCAAATTTTTCTTGTGATCAAAGAGTCTGAAAGCAGATACTACAACTTCTGCTGCAAGTCCCTCTACTGTATAGGTAACTCAGTTGCAGTCCTGAAACCCAGGATATCATGTTAGTGTAATTTTTTTCTTAATTTTCAGTTGTCTCTCAGGAAAATAGCACTTAGTCTGCACGAGCTAGTTTCTCATTCATGCCATTAATTCTTAATGTTCTTTTCACAGTGCTTGGGTTTTTTTTGTTTGGGTTTTTTTTGTTTGTTTGTTGGTTTGGTTTGGGTTTTTAGTGTGTTTGTTTTGTTGGTTTTTGGGTTTGTTTTTGTCACTTTGTTTTATCCAGGCTTTTAAACTATTATTTTTAATTAATTAATAATATCTTGGTGGAGAGGCCCATGTTATCCCTAAGTGAAATTTCTACTCTGCCGCTATTTCTTATACTTCTCTTTGATTCCCTTCTCAGTAATTTATGCTTTTGCCTAAACCAGTTTAATCAGATTTCTGTCACATTTATCCCATTCAACATCAGAACAAACACCAATCAATTAAACACCATTACTAATGGCTTCCAGAGGTTAGATCAGATTTTGCCTCTAATTGCTAAAGCCTAATCTGAGAAGACATTCTTCCCTGGATGTCATGAAAGAAATATCTCACTGAATATTTTGATTAAAATTAATTCAATATAATATTGAAAACCTAAATGACAAAGACAGATATCTCAAAATCATACATCTCTCATGAAGAAATTTTGCCTAATTTATCCAGGAGTATTTAAATAAATTTAGTGTTCATTGGTACCTCAATTGAGACTCCTAAAACAATCTTATACGTACATTTCTGTAGGATATGGTTGTTATTATGTCATTCATTGACGTGCAGGGCAAAGAAACTAAATTTCATCACTGAAGTTTTATAATCACTAATTATTAGGGTCTGTTTTGTTCAGGACACAGATAATGGGATGCAGAACCTTGCCCTCCAGAATTGTTGGATTTTATCTGCTCCAGGTTCTTGCTTACCAAAATTTGTTAACCTTCTGCCAGTTATTTAAATATGTTGTTTAAAATCCAATGTAAGGTCCTTCAAGTTAAGTCCAAGTTCAGTTCAAGTTCAGTAGCCAAACGAACTTCTTTTTCTAGAATTATCCTGCAGTAAAACGCAGTGTAGCACCCTCATAGAGAGACAGTGGCCTCTACCTCAATTCCCTATCTGCTCTTACCTGGAGGCCCTCACATTTTCTTCTTAGCTAAAGTATTGATAGATTAAATGTGTGGAAGGTTTTGTCTCTCCTCCTGTGAAATAGAGATCTTGAGGTTTTTGCCACTATACATTCACCAAAAAAAGAGTAAAAATATTTTATTGGTTTAATCATAAGCAGACAGGGTATTTTCCAGAACAGCTAGGAGTGGATTGATTAGGACATTCTCTAATGATATGAGAATTCTGAGTTATATAAGAAATAATTCTGAGAATTGAGTTGGTTCTATCTGTCTCAGACTCCAAATCCCAAACTGGAGCTGAAAGGCCTTTATTGAAGGATTTGTTAAAACTCATGTGCATCATTGAAAAGGTTTTTTCAATTAATTAACATTTTCAGACAAGAATATTTTTGTCAAACTTTCAGAAAATATTTAAGCCAACTTTCATACTTTCTATTATATTCTTTACAGGTAACTACAAAAGATTTATATTTTCAATATTTCTGATTAACTTGAAAGATGACTGAAAGTTAGAAAAAAATGTCATTATCTGACATATCCATAGTGGTGGGAGAACAAAAGAAATGTTAAAAATGGAACAATATAAAGCCAATAGTTGATTAAAGACATGCTAGCCAACAAATTTCCATGTTTCCAGTCACAACTGAAATCCAGTTCCACTAGAAACCAGAAACAGTGTCCTGGTGGTGCAGTGCAGTAGATTATATATATGGAGGAGTGCTTGACAATTTGAAAACCTCTCTTTCTTCAATTTATTCATTCTCAATTCTTATGGTCTAAAGTATCGATGCATGCAAGTTTCCTTCCTGCCTATATGTTGCCAAGGACTTTAATAACAACATCCTGCTTATCAGTGCTGTCTTCTTACCTAATAAGTGTTCTCACTGCTGATTTCGTGTAGAAACAGCCATATCGGGTCAAGTCGCAGTTCAATCTTACTTCCATTCTTGGCTCTAGCAGTGGCCAAATCCTGCATTTTCAGATAGTCAGTCCCCACTGAAAATATTCTTGCTTAATTTACAGCATTATGCATGGAAGAAAGATTACTTGGAATGAGTTTGGATCTTTTCAGCATCTGTGGTGATCAGCTTATGATGAATATCTGTACACCAAACAGTGAATAAACTTCACTTGTTCATAGTATGTCACTCTTCTCCATTCTCTGATGCTGATTTAATTCTTCATCCATAACAAGTAAATATATATGTTATATAATAAATTAGATAGAAGGTGCATAGGATTTAACAAGTGCCCTCCCTTTCCCACCTCACTCCACTGTGTTTTTCTTCGTGGTTATTCTGAACTGCCAGCGCTCTGAGGCTTTAACATCTGTGTTGTGGAACACAAATTCTGGTGCTTAACATATAGAAAGGTAATATTGTCTCAATCTGATATTAAAATGTGTGATTTGAAGTAGTACAAAGTGCTACAGGCTGAAATTAAAATGCATGATTATTTGCTGTTGCTGGTTTTAAGTAGACTCTGTTTTACTTCTTATGAAACACACTTATTTCTCTTGTTATGGGACAAGATACCAAAACAAAGTAGTACTGTATAAACCAGTTATTCATTCAGACATGCTAACTAGCAAGCCTGGAATTTTTCCAGAGCATAAAATTTGACATACCCCTAGGAAAAGGTCATATGCAATGAACTGTTTAAGCAGAAGGGAAAAAAACCCTTCCAAACAAACAAACCACAAATTTCAGAAAAATAAAAAAAAATAGTCTAACACTTCAAAAATTGTTTTTCCAAAGTATCATGTTGGTTAATATGGGAAATAAAAGCTATTTAATAACACTATTTAGGTACCCATATGCTAGCTGGAATCATTGCTTTTAAGTTCTTACTTGCCCTATTTGCCCATTACAGCAGGAATTAATAAATCAACCAGAAAACTTGTGTAAATCAGTGTTGCTTTAGTTCACCTTAAGATACAGAAAAGCTGAGTTCAAATACCCTCTTTCCAATTTATAGTGGGGTTGACAGCTGTATCCATGAGATATTCTGATTCTCACCTTGTTCAGTCTTTCTGATGAATTAGGGTTTTTTCAATAAATTGGGGCAAAATGAAAACTATTTGTCTTTTTAGTAATACATCTCAAGTTTTTTCATGTGTCATATGGTGCTGTCCATCTCCAGGTCTCACACTGGTATAATTCAGTTCCATTGTGGAAATTGACTCATTCTCAGTTCATTGCTTAATTATAGTGTATTCAAACTCTGTGAACATTCAAAGTATGCTCAAACTTATTTTTTGCTTCTGTAGGTGCTTCCCAGGCAGGCTGAGATGCTTCCTTCTCTGCAATGAAATATAAAGATTGTCTTGCATTATTTTACTGCTGTGATTTGGAAACTGCAGGTTTAAAGAACTCTAAAAGATGTTGCTGACAGTGCTGTCTAACCACATTTTATGCATTATCAAAAATTCTGGTTCTAATTTGCTTGTTTCCATTTAGACAATAAACTCAAGAATGGGCAGGGGACACACACACACACCACCACCACCACTACTACACTCCCCTGCAAAGATATTCAAAGTAAAGCAGGCATCAGTAATACACACATTTTTAACAAGTCAGCCTCAGTCAGTGTAACCAGTCAGCAATCCATGGCACTGCAAGCTTGGGCTACAGCCTACACATACTACTGACCTCTCATTCCAGTCACTCCAGCTGATTCCCCATTCAGACATATCTAACCCTACTTCTAGCCCTTTGGGGCTGCCTAGGCTGAATAGCTAGCAACAAATCCTGAAACACATACAGTAAATATAATATAATATAATATAATATAATATAATAATAAATATAATATAATATATAAATATATATAATATACAATATAATATAATATAATATAATATAATAAATATAATATAATATAATATAATATAACATAATATAATATAATATAATATAATATAATATGCAATTTACTTGCAAAACAACATAGAGTTTGGCATAGATAAACGTGCATGGTGGAGAAGGGGAAGATAGCCAGAATGACCATTTCCTGCTATTTCACATAAACCCCTGCAAAATCAGAACCCAACTCTGCTCTTTCCTCTTGTTTCAAGGAATTTTTTATCTCCCCACTTCTCACATTGCTTCAGTGTACAGTGATCTGTATTCCTCCCTCTGTCTCTTTCAACCTGTAATATTTGAAGCTTACCCTTTAGACCTGTCCCTCTCTTTAATAATTCCATTACAAACTCTAGTTGTGACACAAGATGTCAGATTAGCTCTCATTCTGGGCTGCTGAACAAACAACACCATCATTAATTTCTCTGTCAGAAAATAGTGTAAGCTCAGAGATGGGAAAATAGTGGGCGTAAAGCTATTTGCCTGTTTCATGTGGAATTCACACTATATAGAAGGATGGTGCTGACAGCACATAGGGGCAACACTTCATTTAATGCATCAATGCTTCAAATGAACATGACCCACAGCTTTGCCCACACAAAGATGTTTAAGATTTTTAAAATGGTTGGCTTGTGCTATCTAGTTCATTCTAGACCATATTAATCTATGCTATTTTTTAACAATATATCCATTCCTATGTGCTTCACATCTCCTATCAGCTTACTTACGTAAGACAGAGATGGAGGAAACCTTCAGTTTCCTTGTCTACTAATAAGGGCTCAGAGATAATCTGAGAATAGTGATGTGCAAATTGCATTTCAATTCCTTGCAGATCTCATAAATAACAGGAAGGGAAAATCCCCCCTACAAGAGCTTTTAGCAATAGGACAAGGAGTGATGACTTTACATTGAAAGAGGCAAGGTTTAGGTCAGGTATTTAGAAGAAATTCTTACTGTGAGAGTGCTGAGACACTGGAACAGGTTGCCCAGAGAGGTTGTAGATGCCCCATCTCTCAAGGCCAGGTTGGATGGGGCATTGCACAACCTGCTCTAGTAGAAGGTGTCCCTGCCCATGGCAGAGAGGTGGACTAGGTGATCTTTAAAGGTCCCTTCAAATCCAAACCATTATATGATTCTATGATTTGATGATCATACACTTATGACGTGTTCTAATTTTGCTCTCTTTTTGTGTCCTGAACAGCAAGGTCTAGGCTTAGAAATTTTCAACTCCTTTTCATGCACTATTCTCTCATTCTGTAAAAGCCTTTTTCAGCATCTACCCTGCCAAATTTTGCTGTGTATTTGAAATATCTAGTTATTTTTAAACAAAAATTCCATGAGAGCTTAAAGCTGTTGTTTTAATTGGAAATATTAAATGTACAGTTGGAATTGAAATTGGAAAAGCTCTTTCCAGAAAAGGTTTAACTCATTCCATGTTCTAGCAACTCCTTTGGATTTTAGACTACCTCCAATAAAGTGATTAGCAAGTAGGAGTGAGATTTCCATGAAATAAAGAAAGAGGAATTCTAGGAGTAGTTTCAGTCTGCTGTTCTGTAACTGTATTAGTTTTAGATACTCTAAATTCCTAATTTAGAATTTGCACATATGTAGGTGTCTAATGATGAATTTGTATCCTGAATGAAATCTTCCTTCTTGGACTTTCTCTCCAAAATAAGGCTCAGGAGTAGAAGACTAGAACTTAAGGCACCCTGACAGACTGTATGTCAGAAAAGACACCATGTTATTTTAATTTTTTTATTTTTAGCCCAGGGCTTCTCCCCTCCTTATGCTAAGAGATCTGGAGATGGTTATATGCTGATTTTTTTTTTCCATAGGGGAAAAAAGACACTATAGAATATAGAGTGTAGAATTTAATTCTAGGTTAGAATATTATTGCTCTGTTAATGGGCCTTTCCTGTACGTGCAAACAACCATCCTACCGTGCATTTTGCTGACAGACTAAGCCTGCTGTCTGTGCTCTCCTGGACTGATGGCTATGCACCTGGGTAAGGGCTGCAGCCTTTATCTGCACAAGGTTTTAGTTCTCCAGACTTGTACTCCCTTGAAAGGATGCACTGGCCAGTGAAACGTCTGTCAGTGGGGAGACAGGAGTGGCCCCCAAAGTAAAAAGCTCACAGTGAGGCACTTAGAGGATGCACTCTGATTGTGGGGAGGAGATAATAATGGGGTGGACTGTAAGCACCCTGCAGGACTCCATTTAATGTTCTCTTCATTTACCAAGCCATTAAACTGGAGCTGATTTTATTATCATAATTTTTTCCACTGGCATCTGAAGAAGTTTTATGGCTTTCAATAAAACCTTTTCTCTACTCAGAATCATGTTTGATTATATTATAACATCTTCTAGTGAGATTTATGTTCTTGTTTTGCTTAAGATTCACATTTTAATGTAGTCATAAAAACAAGTTAGATTTGCTTGTTTGAGGGAATATTATTTAGTTAATTATCAGACACCACGTGGCAAATCATTTAATTTGGCTTCTATTATAAAATGACTATTACTTATTTTCTTGACTTCACAATGGAGAGAAGGAAGAGACAAATCAGAATGCAGTAGGAATCCTTGCCTAAGAAAGGAACTTATTTCAGAAATGGGAAGGTTCTTTTGGACTAAGTAAGGAGCCTCTCTCAAATTGGGAATTAATATTGCCAACCCAAACCTTTTTAATGTTAACTTTGTCTTCTTTCTATTTTAGATTTAAATTTGTTCTTCTAGACAGTAAAATCTCCTGTGATATTCTCATGGCACTATGGACATTAAAGCTTTGGTCATCCTAGAGATTCCCTTCCAAGCCAGTGTTTGATTGTGTGAGGTTTCCTCACAGCCTAGCTTTGAGGTTCCTAACTACTTAAAAGATTGGACTAAGCCTATGATGATTTAAACAAAACAAAACAATAAAAACAAACAAACAAACAAAACCAAACAAAAATATAAATGTATGTGCTCCTCCTCCGTTAATGGAACAGAAAATATTTTTTGAGGGGTGTTAGTGATTCTTATAATCCCTTAGTGCTAGATTCACTGTCATGTCATGGCTGGGCTTCGCGAACGAAGATTTGGGAAGGGCTCTACCCACGTTTGTTGCAAGCGTGTTGTAGATTCACTAAATGAGTCCTAAAGCCACAGAATCACAGAATCACAGAGAATGCTGAGTTGGAAAGGACCCACAAGGATCATCAAGTCCAGCTCCTAGCCTTGCACAGGACCATGTCCAAGAATCACACCATGTGCCTGAGAGTATCA